TATAGGAGTCTTTGATGGAAATTTTCCATCCCATTTCAATTTAGAAGCTGTTTGATGAAGTCTGATCTATAAAATCATCCATATAAAAGGTAATCAAATCTCAGATTCAATTTAGAAGACGTGAGAGATCTCGTAAAGTGGTGATTCCGTATGTGGGTCAATGCAATCGGATTCACTGCAGCTCATCTTAGGAGATTGAACTGAATGACTGCGGACTGCGGTTCTGGCTTACTTTGGGCCAAATGCCAGACAGTTGATGGGAACCAGATAATGACATTTTTTAGCACATCTACGCTCTTCCGCATTTCTTTAGTAATAGAATAGAGAGATTCGACCTGAATCGACAAATCGAAAAAAAAAAACCACTTGAAATGTCTTGTAAAGTAGCAACCAAATAAGCTGTAAATATGGCTTATTTGTAAGAGCAATTTTATAGCGAAAAGTGCTCAAGTTTATGAGACCAATTACGATATTTTAACTGCTATTGTATCGCTATAGGACTCTAGCTAAATGTACTAATGGAAACGTCTAGACCGAACGACAGAGCCACAGAAAAGTGCAACGATATTGGAAAATAAGACTCCGCGCGTTAAAGTTCAAACATTGTAGTTGCTAGTGATGCTAACTTGTTCCTGGCTTTTTCTGGCAGGTACAACTTTGTAGCAATTGTTTTCGAATAGACCCATTCACATTTTGTTTCTTGTTTCTTAACCCGCGACTTTAGATATTTTTAATTAATGCTTGAAAAGTATGGTATGTGTTAATCCAACATACTCGTAGAATATCTGTACCAAATACCGTCCACTTGTCTACAAATTTGTGCGTGATTGAGATATGATAATCTTATATTAAGATTGAATTTTAATTATTTTAATCTTTATTAATTTAGAAACTTCTATACAGCATATATTATGTCAGTGCCAACATATCTGATCGGCGCTACTGAAGAGTCGATTCAAGAAATAGTAACAGTCGTTTTGCCTCTTTCGTATGGGGGTTGCCCAGTACACAATTTATAGCACCTACGGATGTTCGGTTAATCTGCAGGTCTCTCAACAACGCTGCCCTCTGTTGCTCGTACAGGACACATTACATAATAAGTTTTTTTAAACCCGTGACTCGAGCAAATTTAAATTACTGGATGAAAAGTATAGTATGTGTTAAGGCGACGCGAGCCTACAGTTCGACTGACAGCGAAGCAAGCAATATTAGACAGTACTGCGATGACATTACAATTTAAATTCAACGTTTTAGCCTTTTCATATTCCTTTACATGTCACTACGTTTAAATAGGTTGACTTGGGACATTTTTTTCGTGGTTTTTGTATTAGACCCGTCGTCCATTTATTTGTAAGTCAATGTTTTAGACTTTTATTTTACCCTGTTTTCAGGATTTTGTGTGATGAATTACTTTATCGTCCATCCAATTGTGTGACAAATTTATACAATATCCTTATGTGTATCGTATATTTTTTGTAAGTTCGTTATTTAATAGTAAATATGTAAACCGTTTGATCTAGCATAAGAGTTTTACCCACTTCTCCTGGGTGACTCGCCTTAATCCAACATAAAATATCTGTACCAAATACCATGCACTTGTTTACAAGTTTGTGCGTGATTGATGTGGTAATCCAATATTAAAATACACATGTGAATAACTAGTAATATAAACTATTGGATGAAGTTTTTGAAGGCCTTTTAATCTTATGCAAATCTTTTCAGTATTTAACGATGTATGAAGATGACTGACACTGCTATTAATCTTTCGATCTTTCAATGTTCCCGTCGACTAGGTATTTTATATTAGGATACAAAATGGATTACTGTTATAAATTTGTTAATTGTTCCACAGACTAGAACTAAATAAGTGCATAAGTATTAATTTGCTTATATTAACCAATACCTCAGCAAAATACGTACTGTCTTAATTAAAACATAAATTTCAAAATGCTCTCTTTTGTACATTCTGTGTACCGGGAATAATTCAATAAAAATAAAAAAAGTAATTTATTTCTCAAATTTTATTTTGTCGCCTTTAAAATAGATCCCTAAGCTTGGAATTACAGCTACGCTAGCGCTTGAATCGGCCCTCCATTCATTTGTCGTAAGGTGATTGAGATTATGGTCTTTAACTCCTTCAGCGAATTTCTTTTGTAAACTAAAAAGCTAAAAACTCTTGCACTGATGACTTTGTGTGATTTTCCATTATCATAATGCAAAATTCATGAATTGTTATTCCACAAATCCGGCCGTTTTCGGTGGATATTCGCCTAAATAAAATTCTTTTTTCACCGCTAGTCACTCTGGAAGAAATACGTAGGGCATCACACCGCGGTAGATCAAATCGAAGAAAACCATCAGCATAATTTTGATTTTCGAACGATTTTGACGCAAATTTTTGGGTTTCGCCTCGTTTTCGAGGTGGCACCTCGATTTGGCTTATTTGTATCTCATACTCGTAAAGCCAATGTCTCATCACCAGTTATTATACGTTTTATGTAGGTGGAGTCCGTAAAAATTCGGGAAATCATGTCTTGAGCAACCTTTTTTTTGAACAAAATCTTTTTCTTCAAGTGCCTCTATTGAAGGTCGGCAGGCAGTTCTATATCTTTCTTTGTCCAGAGCAAGCCTGAACAGTTGTTCCAAATTGCAGACATTAAAAATAATGATATACAAAGACAGCAACTGTATTTATACCGAGTTACAGGTAGCGCTCAAATTTTGCGTGATAACTCTGAAATCAGTCCTACCAACTTACAGAAAAAAACTTTAATGCGATTCAGTGTCGATAAGGAGACGACTTCCTAACCGAAGAACACGAAAGTATATGAAATACCAAGTACAAAATAATTTATGTACCCATTGAAATTTAATTACGAAATACGTATTTGTATTTCAATTGCGAGTAATTGTAATACTGCACAGCTCTACCAATGACGTATAGTGCTTAAATTACGTTGCTCATGACAAAAGAAAAACAATACCTGCAAAGTAATAAGCCTGTAAAGTAGTAGTCGTGAAAAAAGCGTCACCCTCACTTGCTTAGACAAACTTTGCCAATTATCCCATTTAAAGTAGAGAGTTAGGTCTCAGCTCATCGACAAGCATTATCAAGAAAAATTGATACTTAAGCGAATTAGAGCGTGGAATTTTCGCACGCGATCGTCCGTTATCATATCCGAGGAGGAAATGTTCGGAACTGGGGATGAGAGGGGGGCATAGCGTGGCAAAGATATATAAGTAAGTAAGTAATTAATTACCATTCGTTCATGGTACTTCCTGTAATGCGAGGGATGTAACGTGTTATTGAGTTGTTTGTAATTGATTGTTGAGTAGAGCGATTCTTTTCGAGTACTCGGTTGGGATCGATGTATCTCGAATTGCTTTGTTTACGAGTATCGTTCGCATGGATATTTATATAGGATTTGTTGAAAATGTGTTCGTAATTAACTTATGTTTTCTCTGGCGTGTCTCATTTTCTTTCTCTTATCACTTTCAGCTCGAATAGTGTTTCACAATCTACCTTTTTAACTGCTCTGTTTATATAGGCGATCTCGGCTTAGCTTCGGTTAATTTCTTTCTTATACTGTAAAATGTAAACAGCCGCCGATAAAATCAATAAAATTCATCATCATCAATTTAAAAAACCAGCCTCAAAGATCGGCTCCATTTTCGCTGTGTTCGTGATGTCTCCTTAACGATATCTGAAATGCATAATATGGAAGTCTTCGTCCAGTAGCCACTGTACACTTCAGAGGAGTTCCGCTCATCTATCTGCCATTCCATCTTCAGATCAACCCTGTGTCACCATAACATTTTACTTTCATTGGAATTACATGTATGTGCCAAGTTTTATTGAAATCGATTTATGGAAAATGGTTGAAATACATTGAACTGGATTTATCCCCTAATTTACGACCCTTAACGGTGCAAGTAATCTTCTTAAAATTTGATTTTTTTGACTTCGACGATTCTTTTTTTGTTGATAAGGTGGTTCTTATCAACAAAAAAAGAATCGTCGAAGTCAGTTCGATGGCGGATTAATCGCGTAGCATACACAAAAAAATAGTCCAATTGAGAAGTCCTTTTTTGAAATCGATTAAAAACTAATTAAATTTTGCTCGCTCTTTATATTGTAAATAAACTTTTTTCTTCGTAAGGATAATTTTACTATGTCAGATGCCTTATGATTGTAGCTATTGAAGTACAGGTTAAACATAGGTACAGGTTATCGGATATTTAATACCATTATTCTATTGTTACTGACAATTATTATTATTATCAGAGTCAGAAATTATGGGCACTTAACAATCGTTATTAGTTTGGTGATTCATTTTGATTTCATTTGTTGGATTAAAAAAAGTTAAGTTTCGTATATAAATATCGTATGTTTTGACTGTAATGATTATCTTTGATATGTACCGAAAATTACTTGTAAGGATTTTTGCTTATCTTTGTTTCTATAGCTATCATTGCAGGTTTTGTTTAACGTATGTACAATTTTGACAGTTCACTTAAAATATATTTTTTAACTCTGCCTCTACGTAGCCGCCGGGGCAAATATTTTAAAAACCGGGAGAAATTATTGTATGACCTACATTTATTTCTCTCGTGAGTTTGGGTGTAATTTGTGGTTGTCTATATATGTGTCCATGGCACCCGCGATACTGGGTATCCCTAGTGCGAGGCTGTGACTGTGTGCGTTATTTATTTAACTTCTGGGGTCAAGCGATATCTTCTGTGTTGCAGAAATTGAACGCAAAATATAATGAGTGGAAATATGATTTGTGTTGCTCTTCGCTCCGATCGGTTAGGATTTATGATACTGGTCCTTATTGCTTGGTGTGAACATCATTAATTTGAATTTCCTTGTTCGCAGGCGTGACAATGAGAGAAAAAAGGGGTGGCGCGCTAAGCAAAATGCAAAAGCTTAGAAAACGCCTGTCCCTTAGCTTCGGTAGATTATGTAAGTATACATACTTTTATTCATTGTTTAATCTAAGTTCAGTGTCTAAAGTCGAAGAAAAAAAGTATTTTTTTAACACTTAGCGTTGAGGTATTCCGACGATAACACTATCTTTTACCAATAGACAAAGTTTTCACTTTTCTAATCTTTAATTCATAGATAAGCAAATTACATATTGATTAAACTCTACTGCTCATTCGCAAGGCAGATTCCACTGAGAAGCATGAGCGAGAAATTAGTAACATTACATTGTAAGTTATATTATTAACGAGCTATGGATTCCGTCTGGAAAAATTATAATTAAATCACGTTTCTGTAATAATATCAATGGCTTTCTAAAATAACGGTCTATCTCAGAAGCACCTTATGTCTTTACGAAGATGGTTTAAACAGGCGCACTAGTCTTGGCGCGCAAAGCCAACGAATTGTATACGGACCCAAAGTTGTCACATGATTCTTCAACCAATGTAGAGCTTCTTGTCTTATTCATAATAAAATTTAGCGCTTCGGAATACAACGTGTAATAAAATTATGAAAAAAGGTAACAATTTTCGTTACTATTCTTGAAAATAAGCTATATATAAACGAGTTACTCGTATATGGCAAATCCGAATCTAATTCCTGAAATTATATTATAATCTTTAGATATGACATCTTTTCTGTTATAATAAAATTATTAATACAATACAAATATCGAATACTTTAGAAAAAAATCCTTCGATCTGGCTGGATGCGAACCAACGTCTTCCAGCAAACCGTACCAGACGCTATGCCAACTAAGCCACAGAACGACGGACCTTATGAATGTTTCTATGTGCTTGTTACAAATCTTTGTTTGATTTTTGACGAGATCTTTGCCTGTCTGCCATATTTGAGAATATCATATATTGAATATCATGGTAGTCAAACATCGTGACATTCAATAAAACTTTAAAAATTACATCTTTTGTTAGTCTTCTGTTAGCCGTGGAGATAGCTGGCGGTGTCAAGAAACTTTCATATGTTCCCACAGGTCGCGATACAGCAAAAAAGCCGTCTAAATACGGATATCCGTATTGAAAATTCGTAAGATCTGTTGGCTCAATCCGTAGCTCAGTTGGTAATAGTGGTAGTCACGCAGACGCGACAGCCACCCACTTGCTCACACACTCACATACGCACACTCGCTCGCCTTCGCGGATCTATGCACACTCAAAATTGCGCACATTAACACGCATTTTTAACATTATTAGATAGTGTTTACAATTTTTATTGCTCTACAGTATAACTGGTTTTTTCTTTTAAGATTATTGGCTTTACTTAAGACTACTCTGAGAGGGTGAGGGCCTGGTTAGCTATAATACAGATTTAGTTGCCTAAAATAAGTCTATTATTAGTATTATTATTATTAAACACAATGGTTTCGAGTCCAGTCGGATATCAATAATTTTTGTGTTTGTTCGATGTTTTTGTATCAATAATAATAAGAAGCTATTGTAAAAATAAATCGGATGAATAACATTGTGTTAAAAACGCATGATATTGAATAAAAATAAATATGTCACGATCCCTTACGTTTTAGTAACAAATATCTGTTCTCGGTAATACATCATAAGACGTTTATAACGTACGACAATTTCATAAGATAATGACCCAAATATGCAGATCGCAGATTTGTTACAAGCCTTAGAGGTTTACTCTTGGATTACGAGTAGGTACAATGATTACACTGACATTAGACTTGATGTCTAAATCGATTACTATGACATTTATTTTAATTACACTCACTCATGTAGCGCATATCCTTGATATTAATTTGAAATTTATTGTATGTCTGCATTACAAACTTTCACGTACCCTATCATATCACAGGGCGCCTTCAAATAAGAAGCTTATAGTAGTGCTGCAGTGGCGCAACATACACCACTACTAATTTTCATACAATATATATTCGGACACTCACTAAGCGAGCTGTAAATGTGACCTTTGCTTGTTATGTTACCAAAAATCATAGTGTACGTGGTTCGCGAGCGGAACGCGTGCGGTTCGCAGTGAGACGACGATAACCAGGTACTCATTCTAACGAGTGAAGACTTTTCACCCGTACACACTAGAACCTCGTTGCTGTCCCAGCAAACTTTTAAGTCCAAACTAAAAAAAAATATTTTTAACTGCTCGAAAGGAAGATGCTGATGGTGAATTTACAACATTGAATGATGATTCACCCTAGGGTCATCAAAATATGTTGTAAATTTTAGACGTACCTATTTTGTAAGTTTCTATTTAGGATAACTGGTTTTTTTTCTCCCTTCAAACATTTATTTTATTCTTTTTTTTATTCCATTTTTTACCATCTAAGGAAATTTAAACTTGACAATCGCTATCGGTTTTTATTGTGTAAATTATTATTATTTTATTTTATTTCCTGCTTTCACGCTCCTCAAATAGCTTAATTCAAGGTGTGTACTAATTTTGTTCCATAAATTGCCTGTTACAAAAACGTGAGACCGTAGCTCCTGTCAGGGAGGTTCTGGCTGAAAATCAGTGCTGTGCAAACTTTGCTGTGCAAACTAAGTTTGCACAACTGAACTAAGTTTTGTGTTTTTAGTTACTATTAATATGATAGATTTTTATTTAATATGTTTTTTGTTTTTTTGTGTGTCACAAATAAATGGAGTTTGAATTTCGAATTTCAATTTACTGTATCTGTCACGTTACAGTTACAGCTCGGTAATGTGTACCCGGGTTTAGAAGCGCAGTTGCAGTCTGTTGTCGTAACACAAGCGCGTCACTGTTGCAGTCGCAATTAGTGACATAAAAATGACTGAAGCGCCACAGATGAGCGGCTGCTGCGCCACTGCGTCAAAGTTGAAGGTGACCTTACGGTTACAATTTCTTATTTATTGATACTAAAAAGACGTCATGATCCTAAATATGTGTCCAAAAGTCAGCTAATCAATAAAACGTGCCAATCTTTTCATTCGTCGCAAACTTCCACTTCGTGAGTTGCTTCTAATTGTTCAATGCACGAAATTCGTATTATTCATTGCAAACTGTCGTCAAAATCTGTGTTAATTCAATTATAATGTTCACAAGTTGGTGTACTTTAAATAAATAACATATTATTTACTTTACGATGTTTTCATCCATGTAAGTCAAACACAAAAGTCGACGTCGAAAAATAATAAATGATTTTTAAATAAATTTATATTTAGTATCCATAGTTAAAATAAATTTACACTTGAAAACGTCCTTTCAAACGTTCCTTTTTAATCTACTGCTCATTCAATGCGAAGAACGAGCAAGAAACTCTAGAGGTGGCTTTTTTCAAATAAACTTAAATACACGTTGAATGAAATTTGTGTGGAATGCAGGGTTGTCCGAGTGCGGGGCTATGAGTGTGTGCGTTATTTCTTTATTTATTCTAACACGTGGTTTTCAATTTTGTAATATGACTTTTCAATTAAAATACTTTTAATGTAACTTTTAAACTTAGGAAATGACACTCCGGAATCTTATTGTAAAAATGTATAGAATTCCCCATAAATGAGTCGTTTGCCTGTGTTGAACGAAATCGTAGTACCATGAGTTTTGAATTACCGAGTCTACAACAATCTCAAACATAAATATACGTTAAGGTATATGATCACTATAATATATGAAGTTATAATTGGTTATTTGTAGAAAATATTATGCGCAGTATCTACCTGATCCATTTAAAGGGATATTACTGCTCGTACATAGCAGCACAAACATTTATTCATAGATTTACGTATTCATACATGTATGCAGTACATAAACTTCATCGCCTACGCGTCTAATCATGTATAAGACCACGTATTGAGTTCCAGTTTTGTAATACGATGCAATGGTAAGGGATTGTTAATCTTTTTTAGTATTAAAAGTTTTATAATAATTAGCTCGTTTATATGTGTGGGCAACGGCATTTTAGATTATGCTTTCATTCCACGCTTTGCCTACACTTATGTACATATTTAGCGGACCAAAAGAAAAAGTGAGAATATAAAATAGTAACGTTTATTATGTGACAAAACAGAAGCGAAAAAAATTTAAAAACTCTAACTGTATTATACAATAACAAAAAAATTTTAGCGTTTTAGATAAGTCAAACTTTAATTAATGAAATTTATCTTTTTTGAGTTCACGAAAATTCAACCTCGAACCACTCGTCAAACCTGTATTAGTGGGAAATTAGAACAAATAAATTAAAACAATGGTAGCGTAGAGTTTTTATTTTCAAATTAGACCTACAATGGAAGAAGTAAAATAACCGGCCGGACTTTTAAAAAAATACTGCAGGATTTTGGGAATTTTACTAGTGTATAAAAGTATAATTTGCATTGATGTCAAATGTGAAATACCTTGTACAGGGCCAAGAGCATGTCAAGATTGACACGTAAGATTTAATATCCTTAAGATTATTCTTTCGATAAAAACGCTGCAAAGCCCAAGGCGTTAAGCTTGATTTGCTATTGACTACAACAGAAAGAGGATAAAAAAATTTTAAAACCTGGAAGTCGTAGTCAGCTCCTTGCTGTAGTGGTGAAACGCATGTCACGCACTGCTGGCACCGCTTAAGCATTGTGAAGTAGCCTGGAGAGTGTAGTGGCTTCCGTAGCCTCCACACATCATGCTTAGCGAGTTTAAAGTTCAAAATTCAAAAGAAATAGTGGAAATAAATCCGGCTTTCAAAAAAATGTTTTAGTTTTTTTGTGGTCTTTTGAATGTTTATCGCGCAACAGATTTTTCGTAATTGGCAAACGGATCAAAGTTTGAAAAGTTATTATAAATTACAGCTGGACTGCTCGCTAATGTGATTGAGCAGGGAGTGACAACGAGAACGAAACAAAAGTAGAGTGTGGAGGGGCAAAGGAATTAAAGAACGATTAAAAATTTGAAAACAAGTGGCCAGGAACTAGAGAAAAGTGATAAAAAGGTGGTATGACGATGTAAACAGGTCACAATGGAACTGATCGACACCTGGAGATCCGTTGAAAGTT